ATCTAGCAAATGTTCTATAAAATCTAGCAAATATTCCGATGAGTACCGACAGACCTCCAACACCTCTGCAAGTGACGTAAACTATCGACAGTTTAACTAGAATTAAAATCACTGTTTTTGGCAAAGTACTGTATTATTCGGGCTGCTTTCGATTGTTTCAATCGCTAAAGGACAACAAAACAAGGACGAATCTGCCTTCTCAGCCGGGAATTAACAGCAAAAATCCTGACAAAAAATCGAAAAAAGCAAGCCTGCGCCAAATCCTCGCCGGTTTTTTCTATTTGACTTCGCAGTGCTTTCAGTTCATCTTCTAAGTTTTGCGCACGCTGTTTCTCCGCTTCAATGTCACCCTGAAAAAGAAATCAAGTTTTTGCTAGATGAACAATGAAACATGAAAAATTCTCCATATTTACTCTCTATGAGAGATGAGGGTATCCAAAAGAGACGCAGGTAATAGGGAATACCAATGGAAAACCTTGGATAACACTGTCGATGGGCTGTTTATAAAAAAGCTGATAGCTGCTTAAGAAGTAGGAAACGTGTGTAGAAGTGAAAGCAAACGTGACGCACTTCAGTCCAAACAGAGAGCTAAGTCAGGCGAGAAGGGGACTACTGTTTCCAAGAATTAGAGATAAACGTTGTGCCGGAGCCGTAATTAAAGAGTATTACTTTGAAAGTTTGAACAGACCTGTAACAGCTCTGCTTTTTCCTCTGCTACTTCCTTTTCAATTGTCATTAGTTCGAGGCGATGTTCGATCTCAGTGACCCATTCCTCCTTTTCGTGGCTCGACTTCACCAGTTCGCCCAGCTCCTAACACAGCAACTCTAGTTAGGATTGAAACAGATCACAGGAGTTGCGTGAAGGCGCTCGATTCGATGAGCAATCACAAAAATTCACGAGAAAATTACATAAAATAACAGGATAATTTGCTGATAAGTGTTAGATGTAGATTACCAGTGCTTGGCAGCTGCCAGAGGAAAATGGTACAAGGTTGTTTTCCCAAGATGTGGTAGGGAATTAGTTCTGTTACCCGAAACGACTTGAAAAATCAAGAGTCAAAATGCCTCCTTACTCACTCTTAATGAAAAGAGTTTGCTTGAGTGGAAGCGTCAGTCAATTACAGGCAAGGCCGTCGACAGATGCCTCTTTCAAGGGCTGCTTATAAGCAAGCTGATGGTGCGTCTGACTTCCTGGCAGTAACAAATTTGCTACAGAAACGAACGAAAGAATCACAGAGGATTTGGTTGTCCCATTGGTGGAATGGAAGCAAGAAATCATTTACCAAAGCTCTCCTCCTTTTAAACACTTATGCTCATGCAGAAAACTAAAACAATATACAAAAATCAGGCGCTTGTACGGGATGTTGTGCTGCCCAAAAGTGCATGTAAAACATAACGAACAAAAAAAAATTCAGATTGCGCTATAGATACTGCGTAACAGCAAACAAGAGATGCAGGAAAAAGGTAAATTATTTGAGAATTTATTCAAAAAAAGGGAAGTACTTTTTCTTTTTCCTGCAACGTTCTTTGCAATCGTTTGTTGCTTTCGAGCATTTTGGTCTTAAAATCACGCAGCGCATTTAATTCGGCAACATTTTTATCGTATTCGACCAGCTTCGGATGATCCTGCTTACGCTTGAGCCTAAAAATAGAAATCTGGCTGAAAACGAAATAATATAACACGATAAAAAAAAATAACTGGACCTGAAAATGAACTCAATGGCATTTAATTTCAACAAAACCTTAGGTCTCAAAAAAGTGATTTTATTCGGTAAGCTGATTCATCCTCGTCCAGGAGTGGTAAATGAATGTTTGGGAGGTGGTGGTGATGCTTGGCCTAAAGCTCTGGCAAATGTTTTTAGACTTGTTGAACTAGTAAATTCTTCAGTAGACGGGACGAAATGCCAGCAAGCTAACTACCAGGCAATGCAGCATTTGCCAAAGAAGACAAAGAAGTTGCCCAGTAAGCGGCTGCAGAATCAGACTCAGAGGTACAAATGATCCAAGTATTGTGAGTAAATAGAAGCAGTATGAGTTGAAAGCTCATTAGCTAACAAAATGTTTCGGAAAAAAACGCTGTAAGGGCAGTTTTGATGGGTTATCGAGGAAAGAAGAAGGAAACCAAGAAAAGGGGAAAAAAGAAATCACAGGGATGCAGTGTGAAGAACAGATAACGTTAAGAGAGATCAGCGATTTACAGAGGAAGGGGAAGGAGATAAAGGCAGTGGAAGTGAAAAAGCATTAAAAATAATTAGTCACACTTATTTTGACAATCAAAATAGTATTTTTGTTAATCTACCGCTAGTTACTGCCGCTATTCAGTTTCAAAAAATCCCTCTACGATTCGCTCATTCGTTTTGATGGGAAACCGACTGCTAAATCATGTCCGCAATCGGCGTACTTATAAGAAACCCGCAAAAAAAGAACCATCGACAATCCCATCAGCGGGGAAGGGGGAAGAGGGAAGGCGGGACGTACTTTGACTCACCTATTTTGCTAATACCCTGCCCTTCGCCTTTCATTAAGAGTGACCGTAGTGAGACTTTTAATTCTGACTCAGCTTAACAGAACTTCTAATTTCAGCTGCAAAATTCAGTCGTATATGATAATCATCCCTCTACATTTACTCAGTTCTTTATTTCGCAAAGAAATAGAAATAGAGGTATTGGCAAAGGTAAAATACATAAAAAAAATACAAAACTACATTCAAAAACTGGATGAACAGGAATGTTTCGGCCCATCAACTCATGGACATTCTGGCACCACAACTGGACTTCGTCCGTACGGCGATTGCCGTGTTGAGAAAATAAATAAAATGAAATTTAATGGCTAATGTATCAAATTTTCCTGTCGTTTAGCTCCTTTATCGATTCTGCCCTATGTTTTCCAACTGGCCGCATATTGGAAGTTGATCATGCAGAACCTTCCAGCAAGATCGAATCCAATGCATTC